GCTCTACTCATTCAGTCAGTATAATGTACTACAAGACTAACAACAAAAAACAAAAGCCACACCCAAGCTGAATATTTCTAAAATTATTAACTCAATAAAAAACATAATTATTTGTTACTAATAAACATGACAATTCTAAATATAAAAATTATTGTTATTGTCCATGTAAATTAAGTTTTCACTCATTAATGTTTAGTAGAGAACACACATTCATGTACTTTAGAATGTTGCTTCTTTGATACACACTGCATAAGGACGTGTGTCATTACTGGATTGTGTCACATAGTAATCAGCTCCATAGCCAGTAATATCCTTTGGTATTATTTTACTATTCCTTATATTTACTCTGTTCTGTATGACTGCTTTGTATTTTTTGCCATTTACTTCAAACGGATCCAAATGTGTTGCAGCATGATCAATATTAATGAGAGTAACGGCCTTGGCCAGATTTAGCATCAGCACTACACTTGTCTCCATCATATCCTCCTTCTGCTATCTTTATTGAAGCTATCTCTTTTGTTCCATGATAAGAGACTGGCCATTCTCCTGGTGAGCTTTCAGTCCGATGATGAGGAGCTCCCAACCAGACATCATTCTCATACTGTCCCTTTACTTTTAACGCTACCACCCTGTTCCAACCGTACGGTCGCCTGTAAGGATACCCTCCTCTTTTGAATACCCTCCCATCATCAGTGACGTGAGTGAAGTCATCATCAAATGCTGGCTCTAATAATTCATCATTTCTAAAGAGAAATGAACACCCTCCACCATATACACTATCTACAGCAAATAACGTTGCACCCTCAATACTACAATAACGTGTAAGTGGCTTATCAAGCTCTATTTGCTTGCTACCGAAGAGTACCCTAGTGAATGAATAGTGGATGAAAATGTGGATGATACATGTAGCTTGAATATTCTTGTGCCATGTCCCACATTGCATCTTCTATTGTTCCATTTGCATCCACCATCACAGTTAGTGAGCTTTCATCTAATCCAGCTATGATTATCTTAGTATCTCATGCTGTGGTTTCTTTATATAAGGATTATAAATATATGGATAACTATATATCAACATCGAGCATTGTATCAATTCATATGTGGCATCAGTTGTATTGTGTTGTATTTCTTCCGGTACATCATCATCTTTGGATAGTATCCTATAGTTGGGCTGCACTAGTTGATTTAAAGCAGCTGCTAGTAGTTGACTCTTAGATACTGACATAGTGAAGAGCAACAGGTTACGATACAAACAGGTCTATTGATAGATATAGAGCCCTTATGGATATAATACTCACTTCTGCTACAACACATGAGGCATGAGCCTGTCACATGCCTGGCAGTAATGGAATTAGAGGATGTGGAATACACTTGTGGGAGTACAACTGTAGTACTAGTTTTGACAGGAACAGTTTGTGTAGTGAAATATTTATACAAAATAATTTTTAAAGATCCTAATAGTAAGCTATATTATTGTTAACATAGTTAGCGATTGTCTATTCTCACTCAGTAAAGTTAGTCACTACTATCCTCTTTAACTTCCCTGATACATATCCCGTATGGCCTCAGGTCATCAGAAGAATACGTCACGTAATACTCTGCTCCAGCACGTGTCCTCTCCTTTGGTATTATGATAGTGTGTCCAGGACTCAGATTGACCCTGTTCTGCATGACAGCTTCATATTTTTTACCATTTTCATAAAATATCTTTGCATAATATTTGGCAGCTACTTCAATATCTGGAGTAGAATAATGACCTTGACCATGATAGCATGGTTCCTTCCTCCATCGCTTGCTGTCGTATCCTATTCTGGCAATACCTTCTCTTGATGTTCCGTAATAAGAGACTGGCCATTCTCCCTTTGAACTTTCAGTTCGCTCGGATCCAGCTACCAGTGTACCCAGCCAGGTATCATCAGGTGGATATTTGCCCTTTACTTTGAGAGCTAACCTTTTCCAACCATAAGGACGCTTGTAGGGATAATCATGTTTAAAAAAACCCAAGAACCCTTGACTCTGACCTCGGTGGTAAACTCTCCCGGTGTCACATTCGTTTGTGAAGTCATGATCAAATTCAGGGTCTAGTAAATCCTCATCTAACACTAGTATGGTTGGTCCACCTGCCCCTCTTAGTTTAACTGCAAATTTTACAACACAGCCATCTTTGATTCCATAGTCTCTCAGCAATTGATCATCATCATTGAGCTCCTTCCTTCCAAAGGTCAGTACAGTGTTATTAACATCATACTGTGAGTACTCATCAAACCCTTTACTCTTAAAGATGGACCACTTCAGTCCATACACTGTAGCTCTGGGATCCACTGAAAACTTATAGAACTGACCATTGAGGAACTGAACTGTGATGGTGATAAAGTTTTTCTCTGGAGTCGCGGTGGAACTGGCTTCATTGATTGGTATAGCTAGTCCAGGGTCAGGCTCTGGTCTGGTTTCAACGATCACATTCTGACTCATCACCTGGTATGTTAGTGGCTTTGGGTCCTTTAGTGTCTTGTACAGTGGATCATCTTTAGTAATGACTTTACTCCCTGGTATTAGACTGGTTAATGCAGCTGCTACTAACTGTAGGTGAACACTGAAAGAAGAAGAAGAAGCTACTGCCATTGGTTTGTCTTGCTGTATTGAGATATAATTGATGAGAACTTATAGTCTTGTAACCAGGGGGTGTATTATACCATAGATAAGGGGTGGAGAGTATGATGATAATCTGGGCAGACCATTATTAAACTATTGGATATAAGTTTACACAGTGGAACTGCATCATGATTTTAGCATGAGATATGAATATGTTTAAAGCTGATATTGAATTTCACTCTTAGTTCATTGAATTGATACTCTGCTCCTGCTCTTAACTCCTTTGGTATTCTGTCAGAGTGTCCATGACTAAGATTAACTTTGTACTGTATTATAGCTTTATATCTAATCATCTATCCACCATATAGAACTTCTGTTGCTCAGCCATTATCAATTTTAATTTCTTAACCAAAATTAAAGGGTTTTCCATTAAGATTTGTTTTCTGATATAATGCAACTACAGTAATTTTTTATATAAAGCAAAAAACAAAATTAAGTGTTGTATAAACAGCCTATTAATCAGCTATAGAACCTAATAATGTTAAGAAGCATAATTTAAAAGTTCAGTACTACTGGCTTAATTAACAACTTCTCTAATACATATCCCGTATGCACATAAGTCATCAGCGGATGGTGTCACGTAATACTCTGCTCCAGTGTATGTCTCTTCCTTTGGTATTATGGTAGTGTGTCCAGGACTGAGATTAACTCGATTTTGCATGACAGCTTGATATATTTTGTCTTCAAAGGGAAATGAAGCTGCATACATCTCGTCAGCAGCAACGTTAATATCAGGAGTGGAGTAATGGCCTACTCCATGAAGATCTCTAATTAACTTTTTCTCATCATATCCTTCTTTTGTGATGCCTTCTGCTCCACTCTTTCTTGTTCCATGATAAGAGACTGGCCATTCTCCAGGTAGACCTGAACTTCCCAGCCATCTATCATCTTCATACTGCCCACTGACTTTAAGAGCTATTCTATCCCAGCCACACGGACGCTTGTAGATATGACCTCCTCGTTCATAAACTGTGCCGGTATCATCAATGCGTGTGAAATCAAAATCATAAACTGGATCCAATAAATCATGATCAATCACTAAGATATTGGATCAGCTGCTCCTCTTAATTTAACAATGACTGTTAAAAGTGAGCCGTATTTAATTCCGTAATCTTTTAATAACTTGTCATCATCGTTAAGCTCAGTGCCATCAAATGTGAGCACTATGTTGTTAATGTCATATTTTTCATATTCTTCAAATCCTTTGCTCTTAAAGATGGTCCACTTCAGAGCATAGACTGTAGCTTTTGCATCTATGGAATACTTGTCAGATTGGCCATTGAGGAATCGAACTGTGATGATTGTGATCAAATCTGGGGATAGCAATCTCATGCTCATCGTTTTATCAAACGGTATAACTAGCATTGGATCAGGCTCTGGTCTGCTCTCCACAATCACGTTCTGACTCATCAGATGGTACGTTAGTGGAATTATCTTGTATGTAAGCTGCTGCCGTTGCTTCAATGTTGCATACAGTGGATCGTATTTGGTAATAACTTTACTCCCTGGTATTAGACTGGTTAATGCAGCTGCTACTAGCTCAAGGCGATCATTAGAAGAAGCAGCAACTGCCATTTTTCAATGATACCTTGCAATGCTAAAGAGATAGACTGTCACTGGAATCTGTTGATGTAGAGCTAGTCTTATTACTATAGTAGATGGAATATAATAGGAAGAAAGAGCTAGAAGAGCAGGAACAAGTCAAATAGAAATGGTACATGTGCTACAAAACTATATGACAAAAGAGCCGGCTAACAATACACATAATAAACTAATAATAATAATGGTATGATAAACCTAGCTGTACCCTTTAACCACTCAATATAAACATTAGTTTGATTATCTACTATAACCTGTACATGAAGGGATGGACTGTATGGAGTATGGGGGTGGAACTATACTATCATCCTGCTGTTGGTTCATATAATAGTAAACCTGCAGCAGGCATAAGAAAGGTCATAATTTACATCTAGCTACATGTTTTAAATTCTCATATTCTTCAATGTTTTCTA